TCACTGGATGTAACCAACGCCTTTAAGTCTAGGGCCTGGCCTGTTTTGTAAATTCTGTTCAGGTTACTCGTGGTTCTTCATAAAAACGGATGAGACCGAAACGGCTTCTATAAGTCTTCTGACACAACCAGATTAGTAATTTGACAAAGGCCTAGTAATACGACTTATCTTGAGGTTAACACGGTCTGTATTAGAAAGAATTAATCGCCAAAATGTCTCGCATATGAATTGCTTGTTATCTGTAAGAAGGATTTCGCTTTCCAACTGCACATTTGGTATTTACCCAACACATTGGAATATCTTGGATGATCTTGGTGCCTTCCGGAGTTTATTTCTTTCAATCAGCAGTAGCAATTGCCTACTCATGACAGGTTTCAAGGGTCTGTTTTAAAGGGTCTGAAGCGTTTCCGTCATTTATTCTGCAGTCGTGTGTCATAGAGCAACTCACCGTAGAGTATCCTTTCTTCAAAGTGAATGACATATAAAAATATATGGGAATTTGTATCGTGTTAAATCACTCAAAAAATAAAACAAGATAATAAAACAAGGTTTGATAAAAATAAGCAATGGGCTATTTTCGATCCAATGATAAAAAAAGGAATCAAATCTGGCGTAGTAAATCTATTTGGCAAGTTAAAAAGCCAATTATTGGGGCATGTAAATCAAAAAGAGTAATGAAAAATACGTATTTGCAACCAACAACACATACCTACTTTCTTCATCCAGAAAAATAGCAATAATCCTGCTGTCGTTCAAAGAAATGTTCTTTTATTGGGGGGTTAGAAGGTCTGTGAGGGGTCAAGACTGGTATGCAAGCACAAAATCTATCATATTTCGAGGACTTGATAAACTATACTTGAGTTTGCTTTTTACTTTCTGTTCAGACTAACATGGAGAGAGCACAGATTATTTTTTTCAAGTAAGACATAAGTTTCACTCTCGTGGCGATACAAATAATATCTTATTGACATTAGGTTACCACTTTGGTGAGGAGGGTTATTTTATTCTGCCCTGAGGATGATATATATATTCATAGATCCTTTCATTCATTTTCTGCGGCTTATAAATAATTTGCATTTTTTTTACTTTTTTTATGCCAGAAAATGTTTTAGATCGTAAGAATTTTTTTTAGATAATAATAATGTACTTATTAATTTACCCCATAGCTGGGAGGAAGAGGTTGATCCATGGGTATTTGCGCCTAAGTGAATCTATCAATCGCACCGGGAATTGGAAACGGTTCTACAATTAAGAATTCCAAGCCGTTATTCATAACACTATTGGCACATCCAAGAATCTGCTATTTACAAGCGGTCAGCCGTCTAGGTACTGACCAGACTCGACGTTGCTTAACTTCGGTGATCGTATGGGATGGGAACCATAGTTTCAACGCGGTCTGGCCTTAAACACACACGCACGGTGATCTGTTTTTTTACAAAACAGTGCTCAATGTAAATGTACAGATCATAAATAGATAAATAGAGAAAAAGAAGAAAAATAAGTTATTACAAGATTCGCTTGAAGAGGAAACAGTAGTAATGCTTTTGATTTAATTATATATTGAATTTGAAGTTTTCAGTTTCTGTTTTTGAAACATAGTAATTCTTGTGTAACGATGAAACCATATTTATAAATAAATATATATATATATATATATATATATATATATATATATATATATATATATATATATATATATATATATATAGATAGATACTGCAGATATCACTGTGGTTGAAACAGTATTTTAAATCTCGTAATTGTAATAGTATACGATCCACCAAGTAGTTCGGTCATGTTTCAGAAATCTTCTCGGATTTGAAACTAACCATTTCAAGACGCCATTTCACCATCCTATGCTTGACAAAAGAGGGAGGAGTAAAAAGGCTTGTGTTATTTTTTCATACTGCTTTATAAAACGACACGTAGTGAGTGGAAAGCGAATTCTCCTCTCAGACAAGAGGCATTGGACTTAACAGATATACTTGCTTTAAATAGACGCTTTATTTACATATCCGTATATTAAAAAAAACTCATATATGTAAACTTAATGACAGGAACGATGCAGTTTTAAAAACAATAGATAAAATGAGATAATTTACATCAGCATCTGAACGAGATAGATGGAATCACAGCGACCCATGATACGGAAAGATACTTTGAAAATTCGACACTTACAGGATCTAATCAAGGTAACAGTGAGTATCTTAACAAACTTGTTTGTGTAAATGGAGGGCATAACAAAGGGTTAGAAGGGTCTTTTATAGACAAAGAAAAGAGCTACAAAGGATAGGAAATTGTGGAGAGCCATGTTCATCAGTATATAGAAGAAGACTTTACAACGTATATCGTCTCTTTTCACGACATGGGAAAAAACTGATATTATAATTATTCATCTGAAAGCAATAACAAAAAGATGGAGAAAAATTTTATCAGTCAAAAGACGACAGTGATATAATGGTTTCAAACTCGGGATAAAATAATAAATCGTTTCCTTTAATATTAATATGTAACTTCTCCATAAATATCAACTAATTGCGCTCGAAGGCAAGTAACTGAAGCGATACAGCATCCTCTTTTCTTCTTGGGAAAGCAACACCATATAACGAAGGTGTTGGCACCTGTCCTCGTCTATACATAGGTTTGAGCCAAGCCTTCTTCAACATCGAGATCACCTGCGTGCAAATATTAAAACAAGATGGCAGCATTTTGCTTCTCTCAGTGATATCCACAGTGGCAGGTGTCTAATGCAGTAAACTAAACTTTGGTACCACACGCGGAAGCATGTGGCACTTGATCTTTAATTACTTCAGCGAAATGGGTCTACCACATGTTCCATATGTCTAAATGTCTGTGAAACGCATGTAGGATGCTTGAAGGATACATGCTGGTCCATGGAAGTTGGCAATCACTTTATTTTACAGTGCTCTTTTTTGCCGTTAGTATCTATCTATCTATCTATCTATCTATCTATCTATCTATGTGTGTCTCTTTTTTCCTACCACTCTTGATTCTCAAATTGCTTTTTTATATCTCATATTTTCTTTTTTTTTTATTTATTCTCATTGATTCTTTTTGCTGTGAGATGACTTATTAAATAGGTCAATGTCTGGTTATCAACCTCTCCCTTACTTTTAAGTATCTTAATGAAAATAGATTTAAAATTATTCCTATCTCTCCTTTCCTTCTCAAATTTAGACCATCTTTATCGTCCTTCTATCCCTCTCTCTATGACTTTACACCAACATAAAACTACCTCTCAAAAGCTTGTATACAAATAATATGATAAATTTTAAAAGATTTTTTATGTTTGGAAATGTGACCTGAGGAACCAGGAAAAAGAAACACATTCTTGGGGAAAATAAAATATAAAAATATAATCAATGGACATTTAAGGTTGTCTGTTTTTTTTTCTTTAATTTGAATTATGTAAATATAATAGAAATTAAGGAGGATTTGAGATAATGAAGAAATTCTTCGAGCCTAGAGGAAGCGTCAACAGAATGCACTGGACGGCCGTTTCGTCCTATTTTTGGATCATCTCATCAGCAGTGCGCATCCACTACCGAGAATTGAAACCGGGACAGTTACATGGACAGGCAAACGTCATACCAACTGTACTAACGGGCCTCGAGGACGACAAGGTACCGAACTAGATTCGATATTGCGCGCTCGTTCACATATTCCGTGGTGGTACTCATCCAAGTTCCATTACCTATAGGACTGTGCCTCCGAGAGCCGTGACTACCATCATTAAGCCGCTCCATCCAGAGCATTAGAAGCTGGTTCAAGCAAGGATATATAAATGATAGAAATTAAGGAGGATTTGAGATAATTATGTAATTCATCGAGTCTAGAAGAAACCTCAACAGAATGCAGAAAGCACTGAACGGCCGTTTCGTCCTATATTTGGGACTCATCAGCAGTGCGCATCCACTACAGAGAATTGAAACCCGAGCAACTACATTGACAGCAAACATCATACCAACTGTACTAACGGGCCTCGGTGACGAAGAGGTAGAAAACTAGACTCCATATTGTCAACAGTGCGCATCCTAGTGCCTATAATATGTTATTATGGTTCAGATTCTATAAAATTGTGATCGTAGCAAAACAATAAACTTCTGACGAGATGCGAATCGTCGTCTCTCTGTTTAAGGAGGATGTAAAATGAAATCTGAAATTTCCAAAATACAACGTTGGTTTGAGCCGTGACTTGTCCCAATGAGTTGTGAGTTCAAAACATGGCTACTGCAGTGGTGAACAAAAACTTGGAGACTTGAGTTAAAGGGAGATAACTGAGACATCCGGATGAGGCATGGCACATGGAACTTAAACAATCTACTACAGGTCGAAGCGTAAAACAGCCGAAACGTAGTGAATATGACAATAAAGATGAAGACAACAGTCCGAACAATGTAAATAATATAAATAATTACAATACATCATCTCAGACATATAGATATATATTAAACTATACGAATCATCTTTTTTTCATTGTTTATTAAGAGCGTCTTATTTGTGCTTTTACTTTCTCTACAAAAGGATTTCTTTCGTGCTTTAATCAATTCTTTTCTTTATTTTGATTTCCAAATAATCTTTTTTTTTTTTTAATTTTTGCATTTTATTTTAATAACCTGTTTTTAGATATTTTAAGCACAATTCATTTTTACTATTTTTTTTTTTTTTTTTTGCATTTTACTTATTTTATTGGTTTTCTCATTTAAACTAACATTATTTCTCAGGTGTTTGGGATCACTTTCCTTCGTGTCCGTTTTCTTTTATAAACACAACTTTTCTGCAAGGCTTTTGTCTCTTGTTCTGCCGGTCTTTCATTATTTTTTTCTGTCAAGAATTTAATGGAATTCTTAATTGCTTACTTTTTATAGTTTTCTTCGAGGTTGTTTCATCTTTATAATTGTTTGCTGGCTTTGTTTATCCTCAGTAGTTTTCTTCAGTTTTTTTTTCCTATCGTATATTCCCTTCTTTTTATCTTCCCTATGATTTTCTATCTTCCTGCTATTTCTCTTCCGTTTGTCTTCTACCCCGAACTTGCTTTTCCAAACTTTCCTTCTTCCTTTATATTCAATACCCAGTTTTCCTTTTTACTTTATTACCTTTTATTTTGCTGGCTTCCATTCATATATTCGGTGTATTTTTTTTATTTTATTTTCGACATTTATGTTCTTTCTTTTTTCTTCATACTTTCTTCATTTTCCTTTTTTCCAATATACTGTGTCTCATATTTATTATTTCATTGTCATTTTTCTTTCTTTTATCTTCATACTCTTTCCTTTTTTCCTTTCTTTTATCTTCATACTCTTTCCTTTTTTCTTTCATTTATCTTCATATTATTTCTTTTTTTCTTTCTTTTATCTTCATATTCCTCCATTTTTCTTTCTTTTATCTTCATACACTTTCCTTTTTTCTTTCTTTTATCTTCAGACTCCTCCATTTGTCTTTCTTTTATATTCAGACTCTTTCCTTTCTTTCTTTCTTTTATATTCATACTCTTTCCATTTTTTCTTTCTTTTATTTTCATACTCCTTCCTTTTTTTCTTAATTCTCTTCATATATTCCGTAGAGCTTATTGTTTTTCTTATCTCCAATTTTATTTTTCTTCTTCATGTGTCTTCTTTCTTGCGTTCTTCTTTCGTCATAAATTAATGTACCTTATTTTGTCATGTCTTCACTGATATTTTTGCTCTTCAAAAACCTTTTTTCTTAACTGCTATTCGTTATCATTTATGTCTTCCTTCTTTATTTTTTTCTTTCTTTCGTTATTTCTTTCTTGCATACTTTCTTTCTTTCATTCTTTCTTTATTTTTTCTTTCTTTCATTCCATTGATCCATCCATTCTTTCTTTCTTTCTTTCTTTCTTTCTTTCCTCTTCTTGGATACATTTTCTTTCACTTTTTTATTTTTCCTGTCTTCTGCATTATCGGTCAGCTTCATTTTTTTTTTCATTATAGATTTCTTTAGTCTTTCCATTTTTTACACTTTTTTCTTTCTTCCATTTCTATTTTTCTATTTTTCTCTTAGTTTCATTATTTACCCATCTCTTTCTATCGTATTGGTTGTTCTTTTATATTTCTTAATTATTGTCTTTTAGCGTATTCTTTCTTTTTATTTCTTTCACCGTTTTCATCTTTTTTATTTTTATTTTTTTGAATTTAACCATTTATTTGCTTTCTTCCTTGCTCATTTTTAGCGACCTCATTTTTCTCTGTTTTGCTGCGCATCATCCTTGTATTTGTTCCTGATTCTTTTTTATATTCAGTCTATTTTTCTTATTATTATTTCCTTCCTTTCAACCGGCGACAACTCCTTAAATTCTTTTCTTTCTATCTTCCTTATCTACGCTTTATCATTTCGTCTCTTCTCTTACACTAACGATCCTTTCTTGCTTAACTTCCCTTTCTTTCAACCATTTTGGTATTTTTCTGTTTTTCTCTTTATATTTCAAGTCTTGTTTTTTTTTTTCCTTTTTTCCATTCTTTTCTTTTAACCCTTTCTTATTTTCCATTCTTTCTGTCTGATTGCGTGACTTCCAGTGATTTGTTGCCGGATATACTCGGAAATCTATCAAAGTATTATTCCAGATTAATGGTCCTTTCAAGAATGGGTTTTTGATGTCCGTTTACACGTGAGCATAACATCTCTCGACCATCTCCCCTTCTTCTGAGTGTAATGCTATCACTCGTCAACAACGTCGGAATTAATAACAGCAAAAGAAAAAAAAAAGAGAGAGAGAGAAAGTTTAAGGGCTCTTGAAGTGAAGAGAAATAAACATAAAAGACACTGTGCGTACGAAGAGAAGCAACACTCTATAATCCTTCTGTAAAAGAAAGAGTTATCAATGAAGAAGAAGAAGAAGAAGAAGAAGAAGAAGAAGAAGAAGAAGAAGATAAAAGGGAGAAAAAAGAAAGAAAGGATAGTTAGAAAAAGAGAAGATTTAGTAGAATATATAAAATGAAAGGAAGATAAATGAAAACAAGAAAATTATTAATAATAATAATATTAATAATAATAATATAGAAGAAGAAGAAGAAGAAGAAGAAGAAGAAGAAGAAGAAGAAGAAGAAGAAGAAGAATACAATAATAACCGTTTAAACATGAGAGACAAAGAAAGCGAATAATATTGAGGGGGATTGATAGGAATTCAGCAAACGGAATATTTTTAAAGTCTCCTACGAAACTGAGTTGGGGGGGTGTAATTGAATAGTGAATTAAAAAAAAATGCTGAAGTGGAGTGAGCAGTAGAGATTATTTAAGAAAATCTATATGACAGGTTGAGTGGAAAATATATATAAAAAAATGAAACGGGATAACAAAAGAGGGAAGAACCGCTCAGATAAAGGAGTCGTATCACATTATAAAAAGCGAGCAAGCACGCATAGACTCGATGTGTACATTAGTATATAAAATCAGAATAAAATATTAAATAATATTACAAAGAGAATGTAACGGGTAAACATGAATAAGTAGTAGTAGTATTTGTAATAATAATATTAATAATAATAATAATAATAATAATAATATACTTTCCCAATCAGAATATACAAAGAGCGGAATGGAAGAGAAATGAAAGAAGCAAACGAACTGATTCGACAAAATAAATAAATGCAACGACACAGGAGGCTGCCTAAGAAAATAATTGGAAAATGGCAAAATATTCCAGGATTTTCAAATGCTGGCAATGTTAGCATCAAACATGAAGACCGGATCTGTTGATTGTTCACAATCAAGAGATATTCTGTCAAACCATGTTTATAGCTCCCAGAGCGTACTACAAAGAGAAGATCACAGAAAGCTAAATTAGTTAACTGAAAAATTGATGGTGACTGAGTCAAACTGTGGAAGACAGTCATTAGGCACTTCTATGTGGAAAATAGCGAGGTGAAAACCATTATAAATACAAAACGTCAAGTCATAAGGATGATATATGCGGTACTGTGGTCAGTAAGAGTACCGGAGACGGTGTGACAAATTCTATATATGTTGTCATTTGTCGCCAAAGGCAAATACAAAATGCTTAGTCTAGAAATACAACGGATGTATGAAAGGGTAAAGGGTTAAATGTTTATTCTGTACTTTGTTATACAATGAATAGGTTAAAAAAATCACTACATTAATACGATTACTACGATGACTATAATATAAATAATAATAATAATAATGATAAGGCTATTAAAGAGAACAAGACTAGAAAGAAGCTCGTAATTACGAGAGAAGGGTTTATTATTAATATATATATACCAGTGATTAAGATATTCACGGCCGTCGTAGAAGGATTTGGAAATCTGCCCTACAGTGCAATGCAAGCACCATGGCCGCTGCAAATTTCACACACACGCGCGAGCAACTGTATTCTTAAGAATATTTATTTAGTTACTCTAAACAGACATCCTTAAAAACTCAAAGCATTTTCAAATTATTTTTCTATCATTTTACCCGATGGGATACATATAGAGAAACATAAAAAACAGCTTTGTCATATATATATATATATATATATATATATATATATATATATATATATGTTTATATGTTGATAGATACAAACATTTAAGTAAATGCTCTGTAAATAAACAGTATTAACGACATTTAACCGCCTAAATGTCTGAAAAATCTCAAAGAAAATATATATACTTCGACAGGAATCGAACCTGGATCCTACACGGAAGCCTCATATAGCCTGACGTGCTATACTATTTAATTGTCATTTGTTTACGTTAAGATAAGCTTCAAGCAGATATGAGCTTTCGAGAGAAATCATAGGAAAGTTGTGGTTTAAAATCAGTAGTTTATACTTGCTAACAAGACGCTTCCTCTGTAGCAAAATGTAAAGACTAGAAAAGGCAGAAAAACAAAAACAAATATAAAATTAGGAATAAAAAAGAAGTCCTATCAGCTATTGAAAAATAAAGCAAGCAACTAAAGGCTAAAAGAATCAGGCGCCGTGAAAAAAAGATCAACATTTTACAGATTGAACAAGATCTTTCAAACCGAGCCGAAGAATTTAATAGAGGAATAGGCAATCAAAATATTGAAGTGACAATGGAAGAAGATATGCAGTTCTGGGAAAGAATATGGTTTTGTCCTAAAAAACATGACAAAGAAGCAGATTGGATCACGCAAAATGTAGAACGGATGTAATCCTGAAATAATATAAAACAGAACAATTATGTGTAGGAATCACAGAAGAGGATGTTGAATGTGCACTGAAAAAAACACACAACTGGAAATCTCCAGGAATATAAAAAAATTCTTAACTTTTGGCTTTATTATCTAAATACAGGACTCAAAAACTAGCCAAGAACTTCAAGAAATGGTCAATGGTTTAAATAAAATTCTGAGTTAGGTAACCAAAGCCATTACATTCCTTCTACCCATAAATGGTGACACAAATGCCTTCCAAACTACAGACCAATTACATGTCGTCCCACTACTTACAAACTGTTGAGATTTGTTCTGACACAACAGATATATTCCTTCTTGACATACTATCTCTTGATATCTATCCGGTTACAAAAAATATGTCAACACAATTCTATGGGATTACTCTATCTTTACAAACAGGAAGCTTGAAACAAATAGGCCTGAGATAATTGTCAAAACCGAAAAGAAAAAAAAAGCCTACTAATTGATATGGCTTGCCCAGCGGACTGAAATATAGCAGCTAAAGAGTTTGAAACACTATCAAAGCATGAAGACCTGGAAATCGAAATCAAAAACAATGTGGAAATAGAAACAAGAATAGTACCAGTCATAGTAGATGAGCTTGGAATGACAAAAAAATGGAACACTGCACATTGGAAAGACCCGTAGAAATCACAGGTTAAGAAAAATAAACAAAAAATCCGCCTTGATAGATACAGCCCACACACTAAAAAGGAACCGTGTCAATGTGACGCTAGTGATGGTATGGGAGTTAGAAAAACAAATCATGACATGTAACCATAACAACATAACTCTGCCTGCCTTAGGTTTTCTCGTAGACTTGGTAGGTAGAGTGACTATAGCAGAAAGGTAAATATAGTGATGATGATAATAATTATATCCAGTTATAATATACATAGAGATCTATGAGGCAACGTCTGTCTAGATATTTTAGCATTTAAGAACGTGTAAAACTTGATAAAATTAGAAAGCCATATGAAACTATAAAAGTTTTTAAAAAAAGCCAGAACAGAACAGTAAATCTGGAAAATTCTCAACCATTTTAAAAATCGCTAAACAGAAATAAAAAATAAATCTCTTCCTTTTATATGAATTAAAAATTAAATCATTCTTACACAATTTATTATAAATGTTTATATTATTTCTACAATATAGAAATATATTTGAAGTTGACTAATAACCCGTATCGAAGATAACAGAACAGATGTTAAATTATTTTCTTAGCTTTAAACACGATCACTAACAATTTCATTCAAATTAACTCTTACATATACACTTTTAAAGTTCGGAGCACGATCAATTTGGAAGAAACTACAAAAATGTTTAAATTCTCTTCATACTAGATTTCTAATATTTAACAATATCATATTTTTTATTTAGTTCCTGCTGAAATTCCAAGTAAATATTATCACTACACTCAAAGACTTATAAGAAGAAATTACTTGTCGAAAATAACATAGACAATTGGTTTACTGAAAATACTGGGCTTCTCTTAGAGATCTTATTAAAGAAA